TTAAGTAGGACTACATACTGCTTTGCTTTAGGCAGCCTTGAGCTGGCTTTGGATTTTCTGGTACCCCTCAATAAGGGGTAAAAGCAGGACCCTTCATATGTCTACAGGTTTCAGCTGCAAGCAGGGTGAAATTCTTACACATATGACAAATGTTGTCATCTGCAACTGCACAACAGACTGTGAGCACAATGCCATTCATGCACACATATATCATAAATGCATATATATGCTTTTAAGCATATACACAGGACCTATATACAGAGACATCTTCAAGGCTTAAATTTCCAAAGCAACTTTGAATTTTCCATGCTAAAACTGTACAGGGAAAGGGGTTGCTTCATATTATCTCCCCCCTGCTCTCCCCCAAATAAGGTATCTTATTTCACCAGGCTAGAGCTTTAGAAATATTCTGGAAAAACAGAATGCAAGCTACTATGAATTTCACTTTGATCACATTTCTCCTGGTAGCAGCTTTGCTGAGATTGTTAGCAAGCCAACTGTCAGCACACAGTAAGGAAATGTCAGTGCATGTCTGTGCAACACACTGGGCTCACATGGCACAGGCCTAGATCCTGCCCTCTGCTACAGATGAAGTTCACAGGGGTAAGGGAATAAGGACTCTCTTCTTCCATCTGCCCTGAATGCAGCAGCAAGGCAGGATTCCAACCTAGCACTCAGGAGAGTGCCAAAAAAGGGACTGGCTACTGTGCTGGCTGCCACCCCAGGGCCCCAGGGGTGTGAGGCCTGCCAGCTGTGGGGTGGAGCCGTGCCCCCAGCCAGCTCCAGCCTCTGCTGCTGCCTTGCTGCTGGCTCAGCTCGTGCAACCATCGCTTCAAGAACAGCAATGCTGTGCAGCTCATCATGCGGTGCAGGTGTTCACCCTCAACTATCCCTGCCCTGTGCTGGCAGAGCAGCTCCAGCAGCACACATGGCCTGTACTTGCCTGTCTTCCCAAGCCACAAAGTGCAGCACCTATAAGATCCTCGGGCTGGCTTTACTCTGGAAAAGGAAACGCTGAGAAAAGGAAAGCTCTCACCGAAATATAAGGAGATCAGATGTTTTAACTGACTTCCCTCCTGTGCAGAGATGTGATACAACTCCACAGACTCTCTACCAATCCCAACTCCACTGATGCAGAAAGAAACCTGGGGAAGAACCAAAGGTCTCTGCTGAAACACACCCCGGGGAGAGCTATGACAAGCAGAAAACTCAGCCCAAGCTGCTTCACACTGAGGTCACAGTCCCTGCTCAGACAGGATAAATCCAGTTGGTAGCAAGGTATGGTCTGTGACCTCTTGTAAATCCAGTGTGAACAGAGTCTCATCAGTGTTGGTATCCACTGTGGATGCAGGGATGGAGATGTCCATCTGAGGGCAGAGCTCTGAGTGCTCATACTGGCACCCCTGAGCAGAGGCTGCCAGTGCACTGCAGCTGACTAAGGAGCACTTTTTAATCAACCTACCCTGGTGACACAAAGTGGAGAAAGAATGGAAGGAACAAATTCCAGCTGCAGGAAACAACAAACTGTTAGGGGCAAGAATTTCTTCAGCTTTTGGCCAAGTCACTGTGGAGCCATGAGTGTTTGGCCTTGGTAGATTCACACAGGACCCCTGCAAACTCGATTTCACTAGGATCCAGTGCTGAACTAGTGGATGAGTGCTAGATGGAGATTTAACTGCCAAAATGCATTTTTTCCTCCTTGGAGAGGAAAAAGAAAGCAGTTTCACTCCTGAAAAATAAATTTCCCAGGTTTAAATAACATTAGGGGCATGGCATTTTTAATTTTTATCTGGACATACATATTTGAGGGGTTCTAATAAACAGAACATTTCCTCTGACTTCTTTTCAAAGGCACTAGCAAGCCCTATCTTTTAAAACTTGAGAATTTGTTTGATTTGCTATAGTGCAACAAAACTTCAGGCAGGATAATCTACTATTCAGGTCTTTTCAAATAGTTCATAAAAATGTATTAAAGGACTACAAACTGAATTACAGAATACCAAACAGTACTTTGACCTCTCCTAACATCACCCATCACAGAATCTCCCTGCTGCCAAAAAAATGCTGATTATTCTCCAAACAACACCACCCAGAAGAAGAAACAAGTGCACCGAAGAATTATGGTATCTGCCTAGTCCCACAAAGCAAAGCAGTGGCCAAGCTGCTGAAAAAATCCCTTGGTATCATAACTTCAGTCTTGGAGCTGAATAGTAAATTCAGCCTTTTTTCCAAAAATGTCATACAACAAAGTTGTCTCAAATCCTAAAGCAAGATTCATATACTCAGACAAAACAGAGGTTTAGCTATTTCATGTTCTGTTTTCCTTGTTTTCATATGAATTACTCATGACTTTGGACTTTACATACAATGCATATAATCTGAATGCAATTTACCCTTACAGGTGCAGCTACAGACAAACTAGGTTCACCTAGGGAAAGCTTGTTCTTCTCACATCTTTGCAGCTAAGCTGGGACATACTGAAGAAGACACAGATCCCACAAAGATAACCACATTTGTTTTCATGTAATTCTTTGACCTGGAATTAATAACAATTTTCCTCTGCCAAAGCCAGTTGTAGCATCTGAATTTTTCACTGCTGGGCAACATCTTTTCAGCTTTTGTATGTTAAAAAAAAGAAAAAAGAAAAACGTAAATGCTTCACTGAGCTACAAACAATGAAAAAAAAAGGTGTTCTGCCTGTCATCAAACCCTGCTGCTAAAATATTAACACAATGTAAATATTGTAATATTGAGGAAGTACACTGTGTCAGTACTTCCTGGCACCGCACAAGACCTTCACTGTTCACTTCAGTCCCTGCTGTTAGTTTTAAACACACACAACTTAAACAAGGCATCTGAGCTTCTCCAGTCCTGGTGCGGAATTGCAGAGAGGCAAAATCTTCCTGTAGGTTCTCTCTAGACTGAAAAACAAAGTATTAAAAAGAGTCCTTAAACCCAAACAATTTTGTAGATGTCAGTACTTTTGAGGCAAAAATAATCCACAGGGTCTTTCAAAAGTCTTGGCATATCGCTGCCGAACATGGAAAGATCTTTGAGTATGCACTATCCTCCCCTTCCTCGGAGAAGGAAAAGAAGCTGCAAATGCCCACCAATGCCAGAAGTCTGAAAGCCCAAGTTATTCCTCATGGCAGAAGTCCCATTCCCCAGATTTGCCAGTTAAGCACATTACTTGCAATTGACTCTCTCTCAATTGACTGAATAAGCAGCATTTGTGTAATAAAGAGAATGAAGCAGCTACCTGCCATTAGTAAGCCAGATGTTGCTATCAGGTCTTAAGAAACTGCCTAGCTGCTGCAATTATCTATTTGTCATGGATGTGTCACAGAAATGCAGCACAGCTTCAAAAAATAGTGAAGACAGAGAATGACCTCTATAGAAAAAAAAACCCCAATCAGTCATACTTGCAGAAAGTTAGTAGACTTATTCTATGAAAACCTGGGGCAACTGGAAGAGTTCAGAGCAGGATTTCACTCTGCTGGCTTTGGTTAATACAAGGTAAAATCCTGACTGACAAAGTCTATGATCTCACCAGTTTCAACTGAAATAGCATAAAGTCTTGAAATCTGAAGTTAGTGCTATTTACACTTAGAGGCCTCACTGTGACATATCTGACAATGACCGACCTTGTCCCACAGGTCTAAATTCAAAACAGAATGAAATACCAGGGAAAAGTAACTGAATGTGCAAAATGTCTAATATTCTGGAAATATCTAATCCCAGCAAAAGTAGGTGGCTAGGATTTCAAGAAATGAGTCCTGCATGTTGCATTGTGACAAAGGAAAGGTGTAAACACTGCCTCATGCTACCACAGGAAACACAAGAATTCCAAACCGTCACCAACTTTCTAAAATATGGTGAATAAATGGTTTATTCCAAGTTAAAAGCATCTGCTGCTCCAGCAGCTTCTCACCTTTCACACATGTTTCTGTACACAAATGGGAACTAAAACGACTTGTACAATGCTCCCATGTACCAGTCAAAGTATCAGATAAGCCCTATTCTTATGCATGGTAAGAAATTGCCCCAGGGGTTAACATAGATTTTCCACTTAATTTTAACTCACTCACAGACCCTTATTCTGGAAGAGCTCCTTCAGTCATGTATCCAGCTGCATCACCAGATTTGTGTATGGTCAAGACTAACATAAATCTCCCACCCTCAATGTTTTTTTCTCATGTCAGTTTATCTGCTAAGAAAAAGCACTATGAACACAACACTTAGCCCCCATATCTTTCATCTTACTTAAAAAGGGGAGAAAAACTCTTGAGAACACAGTGAGCATTCAGTATATATAATGGACATGAGAGGGCTATAAAAAGCCTAGGAACAGGACATCATTCCAAAACTGAACTACTTACTGTGAGGGGGGTTGTTCATTTGTTTGTTTTTTAAAGATAAACAAGGGGTTTTTTTTGTCTGTTTCATGAAATATTATAGCTAAGATCCTTCTCCACTTCCATAAATGGATGTTTTTCTTACTCTCAGTGGGTGGTCTCAGAGTTTTGACAGAGGAACATCACAAGTTAAAAACATAGGATGCTACAGAGATAGCCCACCTGCAGTGGTGGTGGATGTGAAGGGGTAGAGAGAAGGTGATTGCAAAGGCCAAAACAGACTGTGGTGGGGGAAATCAAAGGTCAGAAATGTATTCACAGGCCTAACAATGGGGGAGCTCTGGTAAAATGAGCAGCCAGAAAGCACAGATACATTAGAAAAAGAAGGCATGCAGAAAAGCAACAAAAATGCTAGTGTTCACTTATACCACTATTTTTTTTAATAAAGGTCCAAATAAGAAACTCAGATATAATGCCTGGCATTCCTTCTAGTGTAGTTAAAGCATTTGGAAAACTGGCTTCTTTTATATTTCTATTTTATGTTAGCCAATTTAATGAAAAAGAATATTCCTTTACAAGCTCTGGTATAAACCATATGTCAATGCAAACACCTGCTCATACTTTGTGTATTTCTTGGTTTCTTACCTGTTTTCTACCAGGAAGTCTACCACGTATTTCTTCAGACAGTAGAGATGGGCATCCATCAGCCCTGTTCTGATGTGCATTCTGGGGTGCCTGGAAAAGAATAAAAAAGGAAAATCATGGAGCTTTGCATGGCAGTTTACATGAGCTGGACTTTGCAATGAGGTCAGGAGACAGTGAAAAGTGTGCAAATGTCTGTTCCTTTCCATCTCCTGCTGGACTGACAGAAGAGAACAGTGCAAGCTGCCATTACTGGGCTGTGTCTATAAACTTACACCTGCTGGCCCTGGGCTGATTTGCTGTGAAAGAAAACACCTCCTCCAAGGAGTCATTACTCCTGCTACATCTTCTCATGTAAGTGGAAATTGCACATTACTGGGCAGGAAGCCAAAGTAATGGGCCCAGAGTGCTAAAAGTTACAGTGGGTAATGTCAGGGTACAATAATTCAAAGCTTCTGGCTAAGTGCCTGCCTTAATATGCAAGGCTGGGCATGTTCTGCTAGCAAACACAACAACACTACTGTATTTTCGCCAACACCTCCTGAAGGGGAATAAGGAAGGGAGACGGGGTCTGCTCACCTTCCATACACTACACATTACAAATTATTACCACAGCTCAATCACAAAGCATTTGCCCATCCTGCCCAGTAAGGTAGAAAATAATCAGTAAAATTCTTGATCATCACGAGCCAAACAATGGCAAACAGGAAACTCTTTGCTTTCAGAGCAGTGGCAGGTTAATACTTCAGAACCTTAGGAATCTCCAATAGCTTCAATATTTCAAGAACAAAGTTTAAATCATAAAGACTCATTAATCACTTCTATTGCTTCTCCTTATGCATTCTCTGCTCTTGGATAATGGAAATCCTTTTAGGAACCTGTCTCAAAGCAGCTAGATACTTTTTGCCAGTATTACTTTCCCTTCCACACACCTGTAGCCTCATTTGAGAGAGTTCTGGCTGTCTGAACACTCACACTGTACAGAAAAGCCACAAGAATATTTAGCTTGCAGATTAAAAAAGACAAAACACAACAACAAGAAGGAACTACACTGAGGTGCTCAAGACGTTTGTAACTGCATTCATAGTTAGTAGCTATTAAGGAGAGAAATTTCAATCCACACCTAAAATTGTTTCTGTTTTCATTTTTCCTCCTTTGATACCAGGATTTCATAATGAAGTTTGAATGAACATCTCTCACCAGTATCTTCTATCCAACTTTGTCTCCTTATTCCAGAACACACTGAAGTCAGATGTTTGTGATCATGATCAGGTTTATTATTTAGTTAGCTCAGCAGAGGGATCACTCACAAACTGGGCATGCATATATATATAGACACACACGCATATATATGTAGCAAACCAATACTATTACACCGAATATTTAGTAATATTAAAGCTACGAAGAATATCAGGTGTTCTAGTGAGTCATTTTTCAGTGTATTTCTCAATCAAGGCATTGAACTACCGAAGTATTTAAGTCTAAACATTTGATGACTTAGGTGACATTTCTCAAACATGCCATTCAATTCAAGATAAGAGTATTTTTGACTCTAACAAAATTCTTGAAGTCTCAATAGCAAAGGAAACCTCCTGTAATAGTAGTACGACACTTTGCAGTGAAGTATGTGGTACTAAAAAAATGATATATGCACTTTCAGTAGATTACTTCATTAACAAAACATGAGCTCACCTAGCAATGCACCAGTACTGATGTTATCAGTGGCCCAGATGTTGCTGTGGAAGTCAGCCCAAATAGCAATGCTCCTTATGCAAAGAGGATAGGGAATCCACTAATTCTAATGAGGTCTTGCAGTTGGAAGTCAGCAGACTCCCTCCTGTTCTGCATCCTGAGAATAGTTTCCACATTTTGTGTATTTATGAGAAGGAGAAACTTCGTATCTTCTCCGAGCAGGGCTCTCTTGTATTTACATAACTAATATAGTAGTTTACTGGGAAGATGAACACATCAATGGAAGAATGCAAGAAACACGTAAAAATATAGAAATGGATGGAACATGGGAAGGAGAGGGAAAAATGGGAGAAAACCCCCAATTCTTAACTTGAAGATGACAAACAGGACAAAGTTTCTTTAGAGCTGGGTGCTATTTTCCCCCTCCTTATTCAAGATGTATCATAACCTCCCTGAAACACCAGGCAGGGGAAGGCTGCAGGGGCTAGGCATCAAGCAGAAGAGTGTAAAACAGGAATTCCTCAGTAAATGCTGGTTCTGTTGCCACTGTCTGTGTGGCTTTGACACATGCAGCCTCCCCACCTGCAAACTGAAATAACACTATTTAGCTACACCACAGGACACTGAGGATTTGTGGGCTGAAGTTTGTATCTGCATGCAAGTATTGTACCAAGCTTTTCTGTAGCTAGGCAACTTTGTTATAAACTTACACAAAATCAGTGCAAGTGGACAAACAGTAGCACAGTGCTATCCTAGCTCCTCCATCACACACAAAATCCCCACAAAAACCAGCCAGACAACAAGATGTACTGAAACGCCACTCTGAGTTAGCTTTCCATGTAGAATATACTAACAATAACACAACATCATGCTGGACAAGAGGGAGGTCCCACAATGAAAATCCTCTGAAATACAGACCACCTAAGTGATTTCCAACAGAATAGTCCCATAGATTAATATTATAATCACAGCTTCAAAGGTCAAACAGGCAAGTTTGGGCACATGCATAAACAAAGCTGTGATTTCTGTAAACCAGACTCAAGGAGAGAATAGCCACACTAAACCAGACTGATAAGAGCACTCTATCATAACAAGTGACTAAAGATGATGCTAATTTTCATTGACTAGTGCTTAAACCAGTTTATCTTCAGGTAAAAGCAAAGAAGCCAAATAATCTAACAGATAACAGCAAACTCCATCACCATTTTAAATGAGCATCTGGTAACTAATATCGAGAGCCACGCTCCCTTCTCATGCCTCTCATCTCCCACTCCATCAGCTAAGCTTTACAACATATGAAAAATGAGCCCATTGCAAGGAACAGCTGATACAGAGAAAATCGAATAACAAACAATGCGTGAGCTGACACACCTAGACTTATCGCTCCGAGCGAGATAATACTGAAGGCTTTTAATCATACCATCAAAGCAAGGGAGAAGGTACTAGGAGGGGCTGGCTGCAGATGGTTAGGTGTTAATGAATGCTGGGTTGGGTGGTTTATCAAAAGAAAAAGACTGGATATGTATCTGAGAGGGTCACCGTTGAGATGAAAGTTGTAACAGCTATTGTTGGAGCTCTTTAATGAGCAAGGAATGTCAAATGTGAGCCCTCTAAGAATCATACCAATTACTAAATGAACTTCAGTTCAATCTAGCAAATGTAATCAAGCACAAGTCATTAAAATACATGGTAGAACTCCCATTGGTGCTGCCACTATAGTGTCTATTATTGTCTGTGCTCCCATGCAAGGGAGGGGGCTGCTCCCAGTTGTAAGCTCTGTGTGTTATGTTAAGTGATGGCAGATTTTAGTCCTAATGATGAGGCATGGAGGGCTCCCTGGCAGAAAGTCGACAATGAGGAGGCTAGGAGAGATCTGTGGAGAAGTCAGGGAAAGATCAACAATTAAAAGAGCAATTTCAAAGAATGCAATTTAATGTGTAAAATTAGCTTTTATTAGCACATAATTCCACAAAATCCTGACTTAGGATGAGAGTGCATAAAGGTCTGCAAGAGTCCTTAGAAAGGTCTGTGCCTGTAATTCCTGACACGCCATTGTGAAATAATAAGCAGTACTAACAGGATTGATGCATGCTTCGTACATGGCATTGCTTTGAAAGTGGAGTCTGGAGCTTTTCTCTCCCTGATAACCTCCCTCAGGATTTCCTCCCTCAGGGAAATCAACCACTGATAGAGCAAACTTCCCTTGTTTAAAGGCAAAAAGTTGGACAATTGTTTCAACTGTAAACTAATTAAGAGAGATTACCACCAAGAGCTAGAGGTTCCAACCAGCCCTGCACTCCCACTGACAGTGTGATAATGCCAGGCTGGGGTCAAAATCATAAATCTGGAGGGAGCACACACAATGCTTAAAGCCAAAAAGCCTCTCTACTAAGCATGGGATATTGCCACATTAACCTCACCACCTCACAAATAAACTAGCTGAGAAAGAGAAATCCCATGGCCTCTTTTCCTTTAACTTCATACAGCTGTTGACAGAAAATATGAAGGTCTTTAAATAAGCTCAAGGACCTGAGGCTGTCTGTACTCTAACACTAATCCAAGCAATGACACAGTAAAAATCCAATCATACCTGCTATTAACCTGCCTCCTGAATGGATACCTGAATGACATCCATGTGGGCTCATGGGGTATTAGTTCATCTTCCTCCCCATCCTTCCAAAGTAAATAAATAACAGCATGCTAAGTGCAAACTACGCATTCCACACTCATTTCTTTTCTAATTACATGTAGCTCACCACAGTCCATGTAGCCAAACAGTCTATCACACTCTTCCTCTCCCCCCCACCATGCACTGTACGCTTGCGTGAAGCAGCAGTGTGCTGCCCAGTGCAGACACACAGTGCTGACCACTGCCTGTCTGCATGGATGTGGTGCTCTCGGGTTCATACAAAGCCAGTGTACACATCAACACGAAGAGAGGTCTCACAGCAAAAGCTGCCAGACCACCTTTAATGTCTCAAGCATTTCTGCTTTTAAAGGGGAGAGAAAAAAAATCCCTAAATCACATTGCTCATTTACGGGACAGCTCTTGGCTGTAAACTCACTAATAATAAAAGACCACTGTTACATTGGCTCTTCAAAAATCCCAGACACCTTATGACCTTAATTTTTTTTTTTTAAACACAGTGCTTTTGGCCAAAAAGATCCCAAAGCACTTAGCCCAATGAATGTCCCCACTGTATCCCGGGCCTGCTTTGCCCACCGGTGAAATGCTGCCACCTCTGGGCTGAAGTGGCGCGGCGGTGGCGGCGCTGGCCG